GGGGTAATCCGCCCGGACTTTTTGTGCGGTCGTTCTGCGACATCGCTTTAGGTTTCCACGGTGTCGACGAGTTTTCAGGAACCTGTAGCGAACTAGTGTCAGTTGTAGCCCAGCGTCATCCTCCTCAAATATTTGCCCAAAACCTTCCCAGCTGCCTTTGGTCATCCAACTTCCCCGGCCTTCATCACACACACGCACACACACACACATACGCACACCCACGCACGCACACACACAGCGTTCCGCCGGCTCTCAGCGCCTTACGTGTGGAGGCTTTCCCCGATCTTCTCAGCCTGAGCCGCAGGCTATTTCACGTTTGACTTCCATCTCAGAGTAACCGCTCTGCCCCCAGCATCAGAAGCCTCTCAACTGGCGAAGCCCCAGCCCATCGCCCCATACTGACTCTCGCAATCCTCTCACCTACCACTTCCGTCTCCCAAGCGTCCCTCCCACCTGTGGCCGGGCTCCCACGGCCCTACGACTCTCTTCCCAAGCTCGTGACCCTCGGCGGCGCCGGCTCCCGCCGACCATGCGAAGCTGCGGCCGCCGGAGCCGTCCGCGGCCGCCGCCGTTGCGTAACGGCCGGCGGCCGTCCGAATCGATCACAGGTCCCGATAGTGACGGCGCCAGCGGCGGCCCGGCCGATGTCAGGCACCGCCGGGCCGGTCAGCTGGGCCGCCGCGCCCCCAGCCGCGCCGCCGACCTGGTCGTCGCCCGTTCGAGTGCGCGGCTGTGGGACTGCGAGATGGGTCTGATGAATGGCTGTGGGACTGCGAGATGGACCGCGAGCCAGTGCTCTGATCCGGCTGGAGTGCGGCGCCGTATGCAGCGGCGCGGCGGCGGCGGCGGTCCGCTGGCGGCTGGCGTTGCGTGACGCATTGTGTGCGTGCGTGCGTGCGTGCGTGGTGCACGATGATCTACCCGCGCGCGGAGCCGTACACCCACGCGCCTGCCAGTGTCGTGATGAGCGTGGTATGGGTTGCACCATCTATGTCGCGACGCGTTGTCTGATTTTTTCAGGCTTCAGGCGTAGATTTGCTATCACGCACGACGCCAATGTCATCTAATCGCAACACGCACGCAGTCGACGCAAGGGAGCAGCCATCGCATGGTGTCCGTGTCTCCCCCGCCGTGTGATTGGCAGTGCCACTGAGCCCCTAATGCCGGCGTGTCCGCCGTTACCCGGCCGCCGCGTCCTGTCGTTCATCCCTGCCCACGTAATCGCGCCGCCGCCGCCGCCGCATTCATCCAGCCCGCCGGGCGCCCGCCGCCGCCGCCGCCGCCGCCGCCGCTGCTAAGCCTCGCGATTGGTCCATCTGTCGGCGTCGGTGCCGCTCGCCGGCGCTCGCACATGACGCCGCGCCGTCAATTAGTGTCGGCCGAGATGTATCGCCGTCCGCCGGCCCGGGCGGCGGCCGCTCCTGCCGAGGCCCGGGACAGAGCGGCGGGGTCCGCCGCCCGGCCCGGTGCAGAGCGCTGGCTCCTCCCGAGGTCTGGAGCAGAATGTCGGCTCCTCCCGAGGTCTGGAGCAGAAGGTCGGCTCCTCCCGAGGTCTGGAGCAGAGCGTCGGCTCCTCCCGAGGTCTGGAGCAGAATGTCGGCTCCTCCCGAGGTCTGGAGCAGAGCGTCGGCTCCTCCCGAGGTCTGGAGCAGAGCGTCGGCTCCTCCCGAGGTCTGGAGCAGAATGTCGGCTCCTCCCGAGGTCTGGAGCAGAGTTCTGGCTCTTCCCGAGGTCTAAAGCAGAGCGGTGGGGTCCTGCACAGGTTTGGGACAAAGCGATGGGACCCTTCGTAGGTCTGGAGCAGAGCGGTGAGATCCTCTGTAGACCTGGGGCAGGGCGGTGAGATGGTCTGTAAACCTGGGGCATAGCGGTGAGATCCTCTGTAGACCCGGGGCAGAGCGGTGCTAAGATGTTATTTTATTCAGCGCGATGCTAAGAAAATGGTGAAAGGCTTAGAGACCTAACGTGGGGCTTAGGCGTTATCTACGCCGACGTCGCAGGTGGTTGAAGGTAGAGAAAGCGCCAGGTGCCTGGGTGTTGTGGCTTGGATGACGCCTTTCACATGATGGAAATGTTTCGTCTGCGGCAAGTCAGTGCCGACAAGAAGACACAAACCTCCCTTTCTTTCTGTTGGCACGGGCCTTTCCGCAAAGCGTCACAGCAGACTCCATTGTTATTGATCTTTGTTTACCCGCCATAAGTGTGTTTCAGCGACCAGTTTCGCTTGCTCGAAACGCCTCCGATTCACCGTACTTGGAGGGCCAAGGAAACAAGCCCACCCGAGTCAAGGTTCGTGTGAATATGGAAGGGCCTTGAGCAGCCTCGAGATGCTATTACGTCCTGTGGGACACGACAGGTATAGCTAGTCGCAGCGTGAAGGCCATGGGCAGGGGCCGCAGCACAGGTCCCCGTCGCCGTCGACGGCACGCGATGTGTCGTCGCTCCAGCCGACCGTCAGCTGTCCAGCGCCCTCCGTCGGATCCGGGGGAGCGAAGGGGAGGGGGATGGGGGTGGGTAGTGGGCGGGTTGGGGTGGGGAGCGCGGCGGCATTGAAAGTGGTCGAGCATCGACTCTCCTATCAGTGACGCGCGCGCTGCGGCTTCCTCCCGCCGACATATTTCCGGTCATAAAGGGCGCTGAACGGTCCCTGGCTGCCGAAGGAGGCAGTTAGTTTCCTCGGTCGGGCGCAGCTGGGAGCTCGTGACCGGCCGTACCAGGCGCGCCGCATGCCTGGGTTATGTGCGGCTAGTGGACGGCGGCTGCCGTCCCGTGTGTTTTACCGGTCGACTGCCGCCGCTGTCGGCGGGCGAGGCCGGCCCAGTAGTGCCAGCGGACGGGCGTCTGTCGCTATGGGCGGCTCGGCAGCTGTCGGCGGCTGGTTGAGCCCGTCTCGGACCGTGGCGTCAGCCGCCGCCGCTTGTAATGGCGCCCGGCGGCCGCCGTCCGGCGCCGATCGGTCCAGCCGGCCAGTCTCGTATGGCCGCCGCTCGCCCAGGGCCGGCCGGCGGCTCCGCTCCTGCCCGCGGCCGTTCTCGTCTGGCCGCCGCTCGCCCAGAGCCGGCCGGCGGTGACGCTCCCGCCCGCGGCCGGGCGCGATCCTCGCTGGCGTCAGCCGCCACCCGGCGGCGGTCGACGCGCGCCGGGCCGGTGCGCAGACGCGCGCGGCGGCGGGCCTTCTGCGACTGCCGGCGGACGTCGACGTCGTGATGAGCTACGACGTCGGGTGACGTGCCCGGCCTCCTCAGCCGCCTGCTCTCCGCCCGGCCCGGCACCGTCGACAAATCTAATCCGTCGGGACCGCCGCTCGGCCGTGCTCGGCCTGTGCAGGCCGCTGTGCGGGCCCGGCCGTTGCCAGCCGCCGTCTCCCGCGGGCGCATGCTCCGCTTCGCTCAGGGCTGACTTGGCCGCCGGTGTCTCGGCCCGGGCTGGTGACGGGTCGCCGCTGCCCCCTGCGCCGTGGCTCGGGACGTGTTGCCAGATCGTAGACCGCGCGTCGCTGGAGTGCGCGGACGGACCGGCGTGCGCGGAGCTCGCGCCGACGCCGCCACGCCAGCAGGCCACCAGCCGGTGCCGTGGCGGTTAATCCTCCAGGCGAGCCGTTCGTGAACTTGATCTCGGTTGCAGCATTCGACCCGTGACGTGACGATCGTTTGGCGGGTGAGGAAATGCCGTGACCTGACCTGACCTGACCTGCTGACATTCCCCGGTCACCGCTGCGCCATCGGCTGCTGCGTGCCGGGCGGCCAGCGGCGGAGTTTGATTTGCTTCGTTGGATCTGCACCTTGCAGCGAGGTCAAGAGGAACAGTGCCTGGCTGCCCCCCCCCCCCCCCACTCCGATGAGGAGAGGGGGTGGTAGGTGCATAGGGCACACGGCCGCTTCCCCGATTAATTAGGCATGCCACACTACTTCTTGAGAATCGCTGGGATGAGTCTGAAAGGTCAGCACAAGGGTCCAACACGCTATTAGAAGAAGAAGGCAGGCACAGAGCTTCACCGCCTGTGTGAGTCCCAGCCTCTGCCGCTGGCCCAGCTGGGCCGGCGGCAGAAGTTTCCGCGCTCACTGCCGCAGTTCGGCTACTTGCCGCGGTTACGATCCGGGCCGATGGGTTCGCGACGAGGGCGGCTCTACGCTGCTCGAGAGGGAGGGGGGGGGGGGGCGCGATTTCGGGGAGGGTGCTGAGCGTCGGCAGCGTCTTTTCGGAACGCCGGGCAAAGCGTTCCGCGGCTGAGTAAAGGGACACCAGTCATGTAACAAGTAGTATGAGACCGGCCGTGGGGTCGCGTGGCGTCGGCCGGCGGCGCGCGGCCGCCATGGGAGGGGCTGGGAGGGGCTGACAGGGGGTGTGGTGTCCCATTCAGCCCCGCCCAGCGGTGCATATGCTCTCCCCGTGCAGCGTCACGAGGCGCCAGCGCCGCCCGAGCCACGTGGCATTGATCGGCCTGGCTGGATGGGGCACGAAGCCTCTCCGGCTCGGCTGCCGGACAGTCTGGTCAGTAGTGACCAGCCAGGGAGGCGTTAATGCCTCGGCGTCTGTCTGTCTCCGGCGCCGGCACCGGGTCGCTGGGTCCCACGTGCCCTGGCGACCGTCTGGCGACGTATTTCCCTAGAAGCAGGCATTCGTCTGCAGTCAACGTCATGGGACTCTTGCCTCTGGTGGTTTTATTTTAGCGTTGGTAAATGCTGTGTCATCGTGAGGTGGTACGGGTGCTCACTTTTGGCCGTTGTCGGTTTGTTTTTTTGCTCTACACAGCCAGATGTTGCGTTGGCGCCGGCGGCTTTTAGCGATAACAAGCTACGAGTGTGCGCATTCATCGTCTGCCATCTGCCTCTGCCCGCCTCCGTCGGCAGGAAACGAGCTGTCGCGCGCCGCCCATTGATTCTCCATTAATCACTGATCCGCCGGCCGGCCGGACGCCTTGCGCCCGCGCTGGAACCGATCATCCGCCCGATGTGTGGAAGGCCTGGGGGAGATCGGAGTCGCCCCTGCCGCGCACTGGCCGGCCGGAACTCTGACGGTCGCGCTCGGATGTCCACAGCCGGCCGTCGCCCGCGGCCGCGAGCGAGGCGAACATGACGCCGGCGGCGCCGGCGAGGACGGCGGCCCCGGCGCGGCCGGGCGCGGCCTCCAGCGGCTCGTCCAGCGACTCGGACTCGGAGTCGGAGTCGGAGGAGTCGGCGGACGAGCGGCGCGCCGCTGTGCCCAGCCCCGAGCCTCCGCCGCCCACCACGCCGGCCGAGCGGAAGGTGAGTGGAGGTGTTCACGGGCCAGGTCACGGTATCGAGACGCAGGACGAGCACGGCACTGGGCGCCGGGCCAGGTAAGGGGTTCGCAGTCGCCGGCAACCTCCACGCCAGCTGCGACGCGGCGAGGCGAGCGTTCCGTGACGGTGTGATGCGCGGGCCTCGTCACGCGGTTAGGTCGGACGGCCCTCAGCCGGCGTGACGACGCTGGCGTACTGGCGCCTGTCTGCTGGCCGGTCACCGATCTGACGAGCACCAGAGGTACGCCGTTCTCCACGGGACTGGTGTTGTGTCGGCGTGTGTTATGCCTACGACGGCGTGGTGTGCACGTGCGTGTCGTGTGTCGTGTGTACGAGTGTGTCGTGGTGTGCACGTGTGTGTGCTGTCGCGGCGCCGGAGTCAGCCGGGTGACGTCAGCGGCCCGCGATAGCACCGCTCTTACCGCGGCTGGTGACGTAGCCCAGCGCTATTTTCGCGAGTCATGGCTTATTTAGTTACGTGCTGCGTCGGTCTGGCTGTCAGGACGGTCACGACTCACGGTCGTGACGTCACTGTGTCGCCTCCGGCGGGGCCGCCTCTGTCTGGCGAGTGACCTGGTTTCAACCCGGTCTCAGCCGGCGAGTGACCTGGTCTCAGCCTGGTCTCAGCCGGCGAGTGACCTGGTCTCGCCGGCTCGGCCGTGTGCCGTTGCCCGGCTGGTGCGGGCGGCCTCTCACACCTCCCCAGGCCTGCGTGTTAACCGGGGTGGGGGCTCGGTGTTGGCGTCTGCGCTCTTCGGAGCCGGCCGCGGAAGCCCCCGTGTTGGGGGAGGGGGGGGGGGGGGCGGCCTGCGCCACCGCATTACCGGCGATGCCGCCGGCAGCGATCCTGTCGTCGGAGTTGCGGGTCATGCTGCTGGGGCGTGCTCCGCGCCCTCCTGCCGTGTGAAGCTGGTCCCGCCCCGCCTCTGTGTGCACTGTTTTATGCGGAACAATGGTTTGCTCTGTCATTCGCAGTGCGAACCAAAAGTGATCGCTGTGACCGCCGGCTTTTGTGCGAGATGTCCGCGCTGAACGGTGGTTTTTGGAGGCTTGTCTCTGCGTGTGTCGTCCCTGTGTCCCGTTTCCAAGCCACCTATCGTTATCCGGTTCCCGGTCCCGACGCGACCGTCCCGACGCGACCTCTGCACGGACCGGCCGCTGCCCGGCGGCGTGCGCCGGACGCACGCTGTTGGTCGGCGCCCGGGCACGGGACGGCCATTAGGCGCTACGGGCCGCTCTCAGACGCTCGGTGGGGCGCCGGGCAGCGGCGCCTGCCGCGCCCGCTGCGCCCGCCGCGTCCGCCGCACCCGCCGCGCAAATGGTGGAGTGATGGATCAGGGGAAAATGAACAGCCGGGTTCGCTACATTCGGGACGTTGCGTGCCGGCAACGTTCATCATTGGCACAACGTTCATCATTCGGCGCGTGCCGGTAACGTTCGTTGCACTATTAGCGTTTCTGTGGCGTAACCCTTATGGCATGACCTGGTGCGTAGTGCTCGTTGGAGAGCTGTGACATGCAGTAAAATATACATCTGTAACATTGTGACGTCGCAGATGATAGCTGTGGTATGCGTCGGGAATTTTGTACATTTAATTCGATAAGCTTTGGTCACTTCACTTCTCGATTTTTGCATCTCACGTCCAGGCTATACGAAAATTACTCGCCGATTTCCAGCCTGCAACTCGATTCTGCATAGCCCCACCAGGTTGAATAGGCCGCACACCATCCGCCTGCCTTGCGGTGCCTGACGGCGGTCCGCGGGCGGAAGGAGCCGCGCCCCGATCACCAGAACGCTCTGCCCTTGCCTTGCCCCGCTCCGCCGTACCCCGTGCGTCTTGCGACGTCCTGGCGGGCTCGATTTACCCGGTTTACCCCGCTGTGTCCTGTTGTCCCGCGATGTACTCTGTAGCCTGCCGTACCCTGCCAGGCGCTGCTGTACGCCGCCGCGCCGGCCGTGCCCGCCGTACTCTGTCGTGCCCTCGTGCGCTCCGCCGCCGTATCTCGTCGCTCCAGACTGTAACCGCTGCGAACGCGGGGCGCCGACCGGTGCCGCTCTCGTTCGGCCGGCGCGGTGCGGTCGGCTGTGGTAGGGTAGCGGGAGACGGGCTCTGTGTGGGTCCACAGCGAACCCCATGTGCGCCGGTGTTAGACTATGGTGAGGCAGCGCCGACGGTCACCAGTTTGCAGTCTGGGAAACCAGAGGTGCGGGGTTCGATTCCCTGCGGTGCCCGCCCTTCCGGCCAGGGTGGGAGACAGGCGACGCCATATAGCCTCAGCAATTGAGTGCGTCGTAAAAGCCCCAAGGACACCAGTTTGCAGTCGTTGGCCAAGGATTAACCGCCTGCGGTCTCTTTTCTGCGTGACTGGACCGGTGTGGGTGGATTGGCCACATGAGCTGGCGTGTGGGAAGTCGAAACCGGGGTCGGTAGCAGCAGCCGTGACGTCGTGGTGACCGGTCTATTTATTGACGTTGCTGGCTATCGCCGCTGTGGCCGGCCTTGGCGACGTGCGCCGACCTCCCCTCACGTTCCCGGAGCTCCCCTCCCCCGGTCGTGTCGGCGGTGACCGAGCCGGCCGGAGTTCCCGCGATCCGTGACGTCGCGCGCCTGCCGTTCCAGGAGGGCTCGGAGAGTCCGGGCGCGAACGCGGGCGTGAAGTGGAGCCTGCGCTCCATCATGAACAAGGACCCGGCCGGCACGCCCGTCTCGTCCATCTTCGAGGACACGCCGGCGCGCAAGGTAGCCGCCGACGGTGGCGCCGCCGCCGGCCGGCCGCCGGGGCGGACGGTCGCCACGCCGGCGGTCGGCGCGGTGGCGTGGGCGGCTGAGCGGCCCAACCGCGGCATTGGTTGAGCTGCTGCGATGTCAGGGAAGCGGTTATGCGCGAACACAGGAACAAAAGTTTGTCTGTGGCTTTGGGCCAGTCAGTGCCCATGTTCCCAGTGACAAGCTCAGGATTTTGTTCAGGTGTGACCCCGTTGTTTTGAACTGGGTGAAGTGAACTGAGAGCTGAGAGCGTGATGGGTTGGGATATTCGTCGTCAACCCCTGACGTTACGGGAAAGCTGCTCCCTGAACTTAGTGATTTATGCATGCTGACCTTTGCCATAGTCTACCAATCACGGATTGGTTGGACTAGAGTCGCTACCCTGCGACGCCCTTCTAACCTGACGCCGTTCGCTGTGACCCTCTTCGCAACTGGTGACCTGTTGACTTAGTCTGTGATTGAGCTACATCCTGCTGACGTAGGCCTCACCTTGAGACCCTCAAATCCCGCACATTGTGACAGCCCGAAAATTAACCCGCCGGGCCCGCATTGTCCCGGCGCAACCACCGAGGCCAGAACCACGTCCTGTGACGCCGGTCAGGATCGCACGCCGTATCCAAACAGCACGGCGTCCTCCTGTCGTGCCGTTCACGGCCGCCGCACGGCGCCGACGTGCGCCGCGCCGTGGGATCGGGTGGCGGCCCCCACCGGTGGGTTGGCGTGAAGGTGCCCCGTCGCTCGCCGCGCCCTGGCGCGACCCTGCGACCCGCCCGTGACCCAGCCGGGCGAGCCACGCGCTGATGCGACCCTGTGACCCGCCCGTGACCCAGCCGGGCGAGCCACGCGCTGACGCGACCCTGCGACCCGCCCGTGACCCAGCCGGGCGAGCCACGCGCTGACGCGACCCTGTGACCCGCCCGTGACCCAGCCGGGCGAGCCACGCGCTGACGCGACCCTGTGACCCGCCCGTGATCCCAGCCGGGCGAGCCACGCGCTGATGCGCGCGCGGACCGTTCCAGCTGTCGCCGCACGAGTTCCCCAACAGCAGCGAGCCGGCCGGGCCGAGCAGCGCCGAGACGCTGGATCTGAACGGGCACGGCGACGACATCTCGATCGAGGAGCTCGTCTCGCAGGTGAGGAGGCCGGCGCCGGCCTCTGCTGACCTAGACAGGGCCGTGACTGACCTCCGGCGGCTGGCGGACTTCTGACCTCTGCCGACCTCTGCTGACCTGGACAGGGCCGCGGCTGACCTCCGGTTGCTGGCGGACTTCTGACCTCCGCCGATATCTGCTGGCCTGGACAGGGCCGCGGCTGACCCCCGATGGTTGGCGGACTTCTGCTGACCTCTGCCGATATCTGCCGACCCGTTTTGATCTCCACCTGTCTCCGCCAAGCTTCCCTGACCGCCGGTGATCTCCCTGCACAGTCGCCGAGCGCTCCTAGAGTATGCTGGCCCCTGCCGACGTTTGAACCTCCCTCTGCCGGCGCTGCTCCGCCGCACTGACGGCGTCATGAGTCGGCGTCATCCGGGAAGGAACCAGCCAGTGGTGGTGAACGGGCGGTCTGCGTGTGCAGGCGCCGTCTTGTCCTTGCCATCGGCTCCACGTGCCACATGAGCGGGTTGCCATGGCAACCAACCACATTCGATCAATGTACGGTACTTTCTGTGCCGGGGTAATTCTCCCCATTAGCCAATCCACGTGATCATGAGTATGTTCATGATCACTCCACGCGCTGCCCCCCCCCCCCCTTTGCAAGCGCATAGCTTGCGCCGTAGACCTTGACGCGCCCGTTGCCGCTAATACCCACGCTGGCCGCCGGTCCCGTCAGTCCGGCCTGGCATTGCCGGGGCCGAGGCGCAGCACCGAACGCTCAACTCGGCGGGAGATGGAGCGCCGCCGTCGGCCGACCGTCGGCCGCGCCGGCACGCCGCCAAAAGTGGCCGCCGCCGGCGCCGCTTGTGCGACTCGATTGGACGTCGGCGCGGCGCGGGCGGCAGCCGGCCGTCGCCGGCTGTTTTTCGCCGCGAGATGTCCTGCCGCTGCGCCGCGGGGAATTTCCAGTGTGCGTTCATCATGGCCCCGTAAACAAGTCGACACGGGGACTGGGCCGGACACTGGGCCGGACGGCTGCGGCGGCCGCCGTGCTATTGATCGCAGAGTCGTCGCGGTCGAGCTGCGGAAGCTCTCCGTGTGGCGAGAGGAGGTCGGGAGCCAGCCGGCGTGGTTGGAGGCTGGCGTCCTCGTGCGAGGTAGGGCTGACCTGGCCGACAGCTGAGCGCGCTCGAGGAAGGCGTCAGGGCAAGTCGTTGGAATGCATGCAGTGTGCAGATGTGCGGGCCGATCTGGCGAGAAGCGCCAGGTGTGACCCGGGGTATCCCACACTCGTGATTTTCGGCTGGAGCTCTGGGACCGCCTTCCCACCGAGCCGATCTGTTACACGCGGTCCGAGGGGCGCCACGGTGGCGTTCCTCCGCGGCTTCGCGGCGCCACGTGGCCGCTGCCGGGCTCCCAGCGCTGCTCGAGCGACGCCACGGAGCCGCCGTCTGTCCTGGTTCCGAGGCGTCGGCACCGTCGCAGCGCCCCGCGGCGCCCGCGGCGGGACGGCCCACTCCCCGACGGCAGAAGTTTGGCCGGAGAGTTTAGAGCGACTGGCGTGCGTAACTGACGGAGCCGTTGGGGAGTTCCGCAACAGTTGGCCGACTGCGCACGCTTCGTGCACATTGTGAGTAGGAAGGAGATCGTTAGACTGGCCCTGTGGCGACAGGCGTACCGTCAGGGAGCCACCAAATTCTTCTTCTCAGCTTCTCAGCTTTTCCGCCGTGAGCTTGTCTTTGTTTGTGTGACGTCCCGTGGAGTCCAGTGGCCTGATCTGAACGCTCCGGTACTGACGGAAACCTTTTTTGGCGTTCCGCGACAGCTTGGCGCCTCCCCGACAGCCGAGCCATGATGTTACAGCTCTGGTGTCCGCTGCCTCTCGACGTTTTGATATGAGAAGTGTGATGGTGTCTGATGTAGCGATCAGCCGTACAGAATAATGAATTGGTCCTTCTTAATATTGATTTCCCCAAATGTGATGAATTAAACGCTTCATTTTATCATGCAATTTTGTCACGGACACAGCAGGATTGTGCTATGCGTAATTCACTGGGCGTGAGCTGTCTGGCAGCGTCCTTCTCTCTGGCAACGTCCTTGCGCTTCCGTACTGCTGTCGTCGCGGCTTGTCCTGACGCCGCCGCTGTCCTGCAGGTGGAAAAATGCGACTCCATCACACTGTCGGACGGGCCCGTGTCGATGGAGATGTCGGAGTCGTCCTCGTCCTCGGAGGACGAGTGCGCGCCGCCGGCCGAGCCGGCCGCCTCGGCCAGCGTGCGCTCCACCACCGGCGGCAAGAGGCCGCGGCCGCGCCTCTCCGCGCTCAGCGAGAGTGACAGCGAGAAGCTGGAGCGCTCCAAACGGCGAGCGCCGCCGCCGCCGGCCGACGGCCCGCCGCGGCGGCCCGGCCGGCCGCGTGTCAAGCTGAAGCCCTCGCCGCGGCGGCCGCCGCCGGCAGCCGCCAGCGACAGCGATTCGGAGGAGGAGCAGGCCCCGCCGAAGCCGCCGCCGCCGCCGCCGCCGCGGCCAGCGACGCAGTCCGTGCCGACCAAAGGCAGCCTGAAGGGGCCGCCGCCGGCGGCGTTGGAGGCGGCCCGCGCCGGCGGCCGCGGGCGCGAGGCGGCGCGCCCGCGGGCGTCGGCCGCGCGCGAGGCGCAGTACCAGTCGCGCGAGCTGCTGAGCACGGCGTCTGACTCGTCCTCGGACGACGAGGCCCCGGCGCCGGCGCCGCGCCGCCGCCCGCCGCAGCCGGCAGCCAGCAGCGACGAGGAGGCCCGCCCAAAGCCAGAGCCGCGTCTGGCCGCCGCCCACCACTCGGACTCGTCCGATTCGGACTCGCCACCCAAGCTGGACGCCAGCGGCGTGGGCACCAGCGACGCCAACAAGAAGGCCACCTTCAGCCGTCTGTTCTCACGCCGGATCAGCGGCAAGCGAGGCACGCCGCGCGGCCGGCCGACCACCTCCAGCGAGCGCAGCGAAGGGCAAGCCTCACCGGCGCCACCGCCGCCGCCGGCTTCGGCGCCGCCGGCCGCGGCACCGCCTGTGACTGTGGCTTCGGCGCCGGCGCCACCGCCGCCGCCGCCGGCAGCGGCCGTGCCGGCGGCCGTGCTGGCGGCGCCGGCCGTGCCGCTGCCGCCGCTCAGCCGGCAGAGCGGCGTGCCGGTGCTGCGCTGCCGCATCGAGAAGCGACTTGTGACGCGGCCGCCGCCCGGCGAGCCGCGCGAGGAGGCTGCGCAGCAGCGGACCGGGGCGCGTCACGCCGACGCGACGCCGCGCAGTGGGGCTCGGGGGGAGGCGGCGCCGGCGCGCCCGGCCGCGCGCGAGGAGGCTGCCCAGCAGCGGACGCGCGACGAGCCGACGCGGCCGCGCGGCGCCGCCCGCGACGAGGCGGCCCAGCCGCCCGGCGCGGCGCGGGAGGGCGGCGCGCAGCGAGCGGCCGCCGCGCGCTGTGAGGTGTCGCCGGCGGGCATGAAGAGGCGCCGGAGGGACTCGGACCGCCACAGCAGGCAGGGCAAGCGGGAGGACGCCGCCGGCGCCAGCAAGTAAGTCGGTCGCGCCCCGATGGCTGCCTGGAGGGAGACCAGCTGATCGCTAGTGATGTGCGCGCTGTCGCTGGGCAATGGTGTTCGTTTGGTGTGCTTGTGATGATGCGTGACATGTCTGTTCTATTGTGGTGGGATGCTCTTGTCTTTGTGCCGTTCAAAGTTGTGTGTTTCGTTAGGCACGAGGTCCCGAAATGGGGTGCATCATCCTGTTTTTGGTCGGTACCAAAGTAAGAGAAGGGTTATCTGTTGGAGGAATGTTTTCGTTTTTGGTTTGGTCACAAGCGCTTGTGTTGGTGACAGCGTCCTTGCTCTCGTGATTATGACTACGGGGCATTGTGCTATTGGTGTGGCTCCCAGAATATTGACTCAATTACTTCAGCACTCCTGGCCATCGAAGGAGACGTTCAACTGCGATAGTGGTGTAGGCACACGCGATCGTTGGTGGTACAGATGTTGTTTGAATGTCGCCATACGTTACCGTTGATGTGTTGAGATGGCTCAGAATTTTCTCTGGTTGGGTCATCGCCATTCTTTTGGCGCATGATTGCTGTGAACCCGAGTCTTGTGGGGTCGCTAGCAGCACACGCCATAACGAGCGTGAACGCCTTGCATTGAGCAGCCTTCATTGAGCAGCTGTCATGCCGCCCGCGGCGCCTTGATCCTACCCCTGACCTCACCCCCCCCCCCACCCCCCGGCAGGCACCGGCCCGGCTCGGCGCGCTCGCACTCTTCCTGCTCAAGCCTGGCGCCGGACGAGCCGGCGCGGGACGAGGACGTGTCGCAGACGCCACTCGGCAAGAGGCGGTGCGCGCGCGCCGCGGCGCCGGCCGCCGACGAGGCGCGCGGCAAGACGCCCACCAGCCAGCCCAGTCAGCAGGAGCACAGGGTGAGCCGGCGGCCGAGGCCGGCACGCAGGCGCGGACAGCGCGCCGACCGAACGACAGACTCGATGGTGTTCGTCGCTGTTGGACGCCATGCCTGTTGTCGTTGCACGCTGCTTGGTATGCGCCGAGTCCTGGGACGTCCAGTTCCGCGCGTCACTTTTCATTCAAAGGGAGCGTTGACGAAGTGAACGCTACCTACGTTTTTGGAAGCAGCGTTCCTGCACGTTTCTCAGTAAACGTCACAGCTCATCACAGCGTGGCGCGGCTCTGTCACGGTGGGCGGGAAACCCGTGCCATCCACGCGAGACCGGCGGAGGAATCTTCCGCGGGAAGCTGGCGCGGCTGGGGAAGCCCGCCGCCTGGCCTGTCACGGGCCAGCCGGACCGAGCGGCAGTGGGTCGGATGACACGACTGGAGTCTCCTCGCTGGGATCTCCGCTGCCACCTGATGCGCCGATCCCGGATGTTGCGGAAAAGTTGTGCGGTGGGATTAGCTACGCTGGTAGTAAGGGGTGGGGGAGGGCTTTGTGCCCGCCCGCTGCACCGCGTCCGGGTCCGGCCGGCGTCGCGCGCGGCGCCGGCGTTCTCTCTGGGTCGCCGCCCGCCTTCAGCACCGGCGTGTCGATTTCCGCGAGTGAGGTAACCGTCGCCTCGGGTGTCGGGCTGGGGTGAGGATCCACCGACAGAAGCGATGGGGTTTCGTCGACCTGCGTGCGTGTGGGCCGCCGTCTCGCCACTGGGGGGCACTGGTGATGGCACGGCGTAGCCCGGTGAGTAATCACTCACTGCCAGCGGGTGGCGCGGTGTCCTGGTCAGAGTCATCCTCTGTCGATGGTAGCTGCACGCCGGCCGGGAGCGATGCCAGTTGGCCACGGCACGTCTGGGCCACGAGTGCCGCCAGTCGGCCGTGGGGTCCCGGTCAAGGTCACGACAAGTGTGTGTATGTGCCGGGGGGGGGGAGGGGAGGGAGGTTGTTCCTGTGGGGGTCACACGGCCGCGGCGGCATCCTTGGCCGTCCTCTATCGATCGTGTCCGGCGTGGCCTAGCTATTCGTAGGGGGCCTCGGGGACAACCGCCTCCGCCTCCGCCCCGCGTATTGCGTGGCACCGTGCCGTCCGCCGCCGGTCGGTACGCAGCTGCCGCCTCGGCCCTCTCGGGGGAGGGGGGGGGGGGGGCGGGGATGGGTCGTCGCCATGCTTGTGGCAGCGGCATGCGGTGTGTGCGTTGGTGCCTGTTCGCGGCTACTTGGTGACGTTTTGGTGACAGGTGAGCTGTCCGAGGACAGGGCTCACGCGAGCTGACCCATCAGCTGGAGATCAGTCGCAGGCTGGCGTTGCGTCGGCCGTCGCAGGGTCGTGCGGTCCGTACGGTCCCGCACGCTGTCGCCTGGTCCGTGAAAGCACTTGTGTGTGCAAAGTGCAAAAAGTGAAGTGTTTCATTGTGGTCGCATGGGGAATCGGTACGCCTCCTCACACACTTGATATGCCATGTTTCCCGCGCATCTATATGATCTTCGAAATGCTGACTCCCCGCAATGTCCTTTCGAGTAAGTTTTCTGCGCAGGAATGTGGTTTTCAGGTGACCGTTGCAGGCACGCTCTGGACAGTAGGCCGTTTTTGCGCTTTTCCGCGCCAATATTGCCGCCGCTTAATGCAATACTTTAGTGGTGTTACATAAGGGTATCAGATACTCAGCCTTCCGTCAGCGCTGTCAACATTCAAATCCGGGAACCAGCTCGTTACGTCGAAGCAAGCGGATTAAGCCTGCTCAAACGAAGTCGGGTCTGTTTGGCCTGGACCGATCGTATAAACGACGGTGTTCCAGCCCGAAAAAGCTCAAACGACCGAACTGGACTCCTGTTGTGTGTTGTCTTAGCCGTGGAGCCTTGGGCTGAAGCATTGCCACAACGAATTCACCACCACCTTGCACCTTGCACTCTTCTGCCGAGGCGTCCATGCCCAGGCCGAAGATGGAGCCCTGTGTTGCGTGTGGACCGACCGCCCTGCACCCCGTGCTGCACCGCTGCCGCTGTCTGGTATGCGGCTGGTGTCGACGGTGGTGCCGTGTGTCCACAGATCGAGTCGCCCCCCACCGGCGTGCGTGAGGCCGACAGCAGTACAAACCCCGGCGTACAGGCGTACGACAGCAACGTACCGGCCGCCCTGTACACCAGCCAGCCGTTCCCCATACCGGCGTGAGTACACTGGCCGGACGCCGTCGGCGCCGGCCGGGCTGGCGGTCCTCCCCGCGTCAGACCGGCGCGCCTCGCTGTGCCGACCGGGCTCGCCCCGACCCGCCGCGGTCGGACACCGCATACACCCCAGGCCAGCATACCACCATCGCCAACATGCGAACCAGTCCTTGTTCCCGTCACCGAGCCACCCATCCCTAGCGGCGTGGGTTTTACGCGGCGAGCTTCAGGCGCTGGCCGTTTGCCACTGACTGCGGTGGCCGGCGGCCGGTGGCAGCGGCCACGCTAAAGGTCAGGGAATGTCAGAGGGCAGGACGGACCGTGCCGGACGTTGTTGCTTTCGCCGCAAAATGCTACCGTTGACCGGGAGTTTCGGGATCGGATGGTGGGTCAGGGCTCGCGTAGCACACCTGTCTACATGGTGCTGACAAAAGAATGCATCCAACCAAAATGCTTAGATTAAGCCCGTTCAAGTTGCCGCCGCGTTTCGTGCGTATCGTCCAGTCCGAACCGCGCGTCCCCCTTGTCTTCCGCTTTCAACACCGCAGCATGCGTCTTCTGGCGCTCATGGATTAACCCTGAGGGGGCATACCGCACAAGCCGCCTCATGCATCCACTAGGCCACAAAGCTTGTCGCCGAGGAACGAGCGCTCGGGCCGTACGGAATCCCGCCGGTGTGCGTCGATCGGTCGGAAAGGTCAGACGCCAGCCTCTTGCCCGATTGGCTGGCTGTTTGGGGAAACGCGCCGATGGGAGCGGGAGGCCACTGATGACCTTGAGAGAAGGCAACCTCGAGAAACAGCATTTCCGCAGGCTAATTTGGGTTCTGCAGTCTCGTCTGATTTACAGCGGTCTTTGGTCATCATTCAGACCGTGCAGACCGAGCCAGTCCGACCCCCGTCCGCGACCCTCGGTCCCGCGAAATTTCGGTTGCGGGACTTTTGACCCACGGCAGCTTATCTCTCGTCCCCAAATGAGGGTGGGTGTGTCTGAACGACTCTCAAACGCCCGTCCCGCGTGTGCCGCGTCCTTTTCCAATCGCTGAACCGGAGACCCGCGGAACCTCAGCAATCCTGGAGTGGTGCTTAGCGCAGATGAAATGTTCTGGCGGCGTTTTTTGCTGTCGCAGCGGGCTGCTGTTGAACGGATAGCTGCGGTAAAAGACGCACGAGGGCTGTTTCCACATCCGTTTGTCCTGGTGGGTCTGTCACTTCCGCGCTCATAGTAGCACCATTAGCTCGCTCTGATCGCATGGTTTTTCCTTCTGTCGTAGTCAGCATGTGCGAGAAGTCTTCCTTCAAGGCATCGCGTGCCATGCCAGCTGTTTGGTGTTCCGTGCTCGCTACATCTGAGACACTTTGTGGACCGTGTAGGCATCATAGAAATTATCTTCATTAATTTTTTATCTTCATTAATTTTTAAAAAATCATCTTTATTAATTTATTATCATCATTAAAATTATCTGCGCTGCTGTGACATCGAGGAGTTAACGCTGACGCCTGCATGACATAGTGAGCATTCGCTTATTTCCTGTGAGTAGCCGACTTCGATAGTCCTGCGCGTGCCTGGCGCCGTCTTCCTTTCCGGACAGGCGCGTGAGTGGACAGCATTGCTTCGCGCCTTTTCTTGGCGCGTGGCAGGACGATTGTGCGCCATGTGGGCACAGCGTGCTGGGTGCAGTGACACAGATACTCAACTGTTTTGTTTGGAGAGATACGGCTGTGTATGGCATGCGATGATATGGCAGCCTAAAAGCCGCTGTTGCGGCTGGTCGGACCGTGTTAGGGGGTTTGCCAGGATTTTGAATTCCTAGTAGTTTTAAGTTATTGGAAAGCAGGCCTTGGAAAGCTCTGTTTCTCTCGTCTCGATGCGGAACTTCTTCAGCAAACTGAACTCCGGCCATTCGCAGAATCCGCACGCCAGACGTCGACTCACTTCTGCTGTCTGTCCTCTTGTCCCTGCAAGACGTTTTGTCACACAACTTTCTGTTTGTGCTCTGGAGACGTTCGTCCGAGCCTGCATCGACCAGGACGGCCAGCAGTGGAGTGCTCTGCCGGCTTTGGCTTTTGACGTGGCGAGTCTTATAACCGCGTGGCTTGCAGCGGACATTCATTGGTCCTCCATTGCTACGTTCGCAGAAGGTCAGCTTGTCAGGTTGTTGGCCGTCCGTCTCGCCAACCTCATCGGTTTCGATCGCTACGCCGTTGAATTCTTTGATGAAGCCGGCGTTTCGGGCCATGCCCGGCCGTGCTGTCACCTGGCGTCGTCCCGCGTAACCCGAACTTCCTGGCTTTCTCGCAGGACGTCGTGGTTTGATGCGCGGTCGTGCGTAGATCCATGTCTCGAGGAGTACGAGGATAGGTAGGTTAACCGTCGAATCGGCCACATCACACATTTGGTAGGTATGCTTATATTTCGTCGACGCTGGTTTAGCTGTCTGTCTCATGAAGTGCGCTCGTCGGTACGACAACATGGTGGAGCGAAGCGGATGCTGGCGGCCGCTGACAGACGTGCGGCTGTTTTGAGGATTTTTCGTAATTTGAAGCAGCTATCTGTCCAGTTTATTTCCTGGAATGCATGATCAGACGAGGCGAGGGAGACGTAGATGCATGGGGTTGCCGTCGGTGGCGGAGTTGGACGAAACAAAGCCCACCATTTGTGTCTGGCGTTGACCCCGCGCCTGCAGCGAACCTACTAGTAGCGCGCTTGGCGTTGGGCGCCTCAAAGGCGCGACGAACGCGGCACGTCTTCTACGTCCTGCCTTCCATGTCGCCGGTCCAGTCGGGATCGTCCGCGGCCATGCGCGCTGAGTTACTGCGCCAGGGCGGTGCCGGGCGCTGGGCGGGTGTGGCGACGGTGTGTCCTGAGCTGGGAGCACGTGGTCGAGCGCTGCGCGGCCGGGCGCGTGCGGTCTGTAACGCCGGGCCGCTCCTCTCCGCAGGGGAGATCAGAACCAGTACCTGAAGCAGGCGCGGCGCCTGAAGCGCGCCGCCGACATGGAGCACGACCTCACGCTCAAAGTGATCAGGTACGTGACACCGCACCTCACGTCCAGGTACGTGACGTCACACTCGCGCCCAGGTACGTGGCGTCACACGTGCCCAGGTACGTGAGCTCACACTCGCGCCCAGGTACGTGGCGTCACACTCATGCCCAAGTACGTGAGCTCACACTCGCGCTCAGGTACGTGACGTCACACTCGCGCCCAGGTACGTGACGTCACACTCGCACCCAGGTACCTGACGTCACACTCATGCCCAGGCACGTGAGGCCACGCCCAAGGTGATCAGGTACGTGACACCGCGCCTCACGTCCAGGTACGTGAGCTCACACTCGCGCCCAGGTGCGTGACGTCACACTCATGCCCAGGTACGTGAGCTCACACTCCAGCCCAGGCACGTGACGTCACACTCATACCCAGGTACGTGAGCTCACGCCCAGGTACGTGAGCTCACACTCACGCCCAGGTACGTAGCGTCATACTCATGCCCAGGTACGTGACGTCACACTCACGCCCAGGTGCGTGACGTCACACTCATGCCCAGGTACGTGAGCTCACACTCAAGTCCAGATACGTGAGCTCACACTCGCGCCCAGGTACGTGACGTCACACTCATGCCCAGGTACGTGAGCTCACACTCGCGCCCAGGTACGTGAACTCACACTCGCGCCCAGGTACGTGAGCTCACACTCGCGCCCAGGTACGTGGCATCACACGCTCAGGTACGTGAGCTCACACTCACGCCCAGGTACGTGAGCTTACACTCGAGCGGAGCAGGCGCGTGAAGTCACGCTCAAAGTGATGGGGTGCTTGTGATCACACCCCAGACGGTCAGGTCCTGTTTTGAAGACACGTCTTAAAGGGAATGTGTCATATCTGAAGATGTTGAAACAAACATCAGATCTGACGCAACAAGCTCACTTATGCCTATTGGTATAATTTTTAAGTTGAAAAGGCTGCTCTAGACAGCACAACTCTGTGTTTAGTAAATTTGCTCCCCAATGTGGCATGGTCTGATTAATTATGTCAACATGCTGTGCACAACATTGATTGAAAGCCAATCGACGATCATCATATCTGGAAATTGCACTCACGAACGCCAGATATGAACGCTTCGAAAATTATGTTTTTCTTGGTCTTGATCACCACATGTCTTATGGAATGGCAGGATTTGAATGACGTCATTATGACGGCGTGAACGCGAAGGTGACTGGAATACTCTCCCCCCTATACCTTACCCATTTTCGCGGGGGTGTAGCCCAAACGAGAGGGGACTTAGGTCGCAAGGAAGGGCATAATTGTGAACGGCACCGAAAGGTCTTCGAAGTGACTACTTCAGTTCAGAACCCCACATCAATGTGGAACACTCCCTCAAATTGCAAGCAGCGCGCGGCGGTCTGTCCAGTTGTTCTGTACGAATGCGAAAACAGACCTGGTAAGGGAAATGGGGGCATCACGCCCTGTCTAGCGTGCCACGCCCAGAACTCATCTGCAGGTAAGCCTGAGTAGCCCTAGCGGTCGATACTAAACTGTTTTCTGTGGATTCAGAATATGCGCGAGGGTGTGCTGCCGCCAGGTTTTTCCCGCCTTGTGTGCTCCAGTTTCGGGTCACGCCAAGAACCGTGCGTGACCTCTGCCGACCCCTCGCCGCAGGTACACGCAGGCCGTGCTGTACTTCCTGTTGACAGCGCTGTCCATGGAGAAGGACTCGGATGAGTCGGAGGCCATGCTCGCCATGCTGAACGATACGCTCAAGCTGATCAAGTGAGTCCGAGTCTGTTGCCCATGTGTTCTCCGCTTCAGACTGCGGGTGCAGGGCTGCGTTTTCTTCAAAATAATCGACAAGCTTGAAGTTCATGGTGTTCAGACACCGCCCATTTGCCGTTGGAATGCTGTAGGCCCAACGCTGTGGACCGTGGCTGTGATACATTTCATGGAGCATTTATAGTCGTTGCCGTTCCCCATAGAAGACGCAAAATCGTCGTTCGCGTCATTCCAGAGGGTAAGAATTTTCCAGAGGCATTAGCGGAGGAGGCACTCTTATGGTCGGTCTCTGCCTGCGACGCCCGATTTTGCAGCGAATCCCACGGCGCCGTGACTCTGCCCGCCGCCAATGCTGACGCTGTGTCCGCGCTCACCGCAGGGACATGCTGCGGCTGTCGTCGGCCACGTACCGCAAGCAGGGCAAGCGGCCGAGCCACATCGACCACAAGCTGCAGACGCTGCTGCTGCGCTGCCAGGGCCTCATCTACCTGCGCATGTTCAAGCTGAAGGAGGCCGAGCACAAGAAGGCGCAGCGTCAGATCACCGACTTCAAGAACCAGGTAAGCGGCGGCGCACGTGGTGTGGTGGGGCAGGGCAGGCGGGACTGAGGCGGTGCCGTCGACGCGGCGGCTTAGTCAAGCTGGTTGGCACTGGTAGCGTGACACGGTGTGCAATGTGCTGCGAAGTCGGGCTTTTGCGTGTCTTTTGTTCCAGTCTTTGCTGAACACCACTGTGCAGTGATTGGTTATATTGGCAACAGTAATTACAGCTTCAGTTGTCGTCGGATATGAATGGTTTTGCAGTCCTGTGTGTGTGTGGACCTTCACTTGATGATGTAGCTCGTGGGCTTTCCACGAAGCCTCCGTGCTAGTGTTCTCGCTTTGTTGGCATGAAGGCAGTACTGACATTCCGTTTTACGCGGCAACAGACCATGCTGAGAAGTGGTTACGCATTGGCAGACCATGCAGAGAAGTGGTTACGCGTTGACAGGCCATACTGAGAAGTGGTCGTGGTTTGGTCGCAGTGCCCCGAGGTCATGACCACGCCTGTCCACAGCGCAGTGACGGCGCCCAGCCAGGGGCCGTCTGCCGAATGACGTAGCTCCGTAGGAACAGCCGTGGAGCACTCCCTTCACAGGAACTCCCGGGAAGCCGCTGGGCTCTGGTGGTGCAGTCGCACCGACGCGTGTCCACCCCACTGCTGGACCTCTGTCGGCGTATCGACGGATGCTGGGGCCGCTCCCAGCGCGCTCGCTGGTGCTGCTCCGCGGCGGCGGTCCGGCGAGCGCTGCCTCGGAGAGGGGAGGCGGCGCCCTCGGTCCCCGTCGGGAGGACACCGGGGCCCGACGCGCCGCCCGGCTGCCGCGCCTCCCCTCTCGCTCGACAGCGCCCGGCCGCCGCCGCGAGCCCGTCCGAGCGCGACCCTTGGCTGCCGTCTGACGCCGCCGTCCGTGCCGCCCAGATGCTGGCCGAGAGCCTGACGCCGGACGGCTGCAGCTACGTGATCCCGCGGGAGCTGTTCCGGCTCATGGTGCGGTGCAACGACACGCAGGGCCACCTGCGCGACTGGCTCGACTACTGGGAGCAGGCCGACCAGCTGATGCAGCCGGCGCCGGACACCGGTCAGTGGCGACGCCGCGCGCCGGCCGCCACGCCGCCGGCTGCTGGCCGACTGGCGGCCGGCGTCGGGCGCTGTCAGCCGGTTGTCAGTTGTGCCTGGTATCGGGCGGTGCCGTGAAGTGCCGCGGTCTTACGTGTTTCTGATACCATGTGGGTGCAGCTGTAGAAATGCAGAGCGTCGTTGAGCTGGTTTCCTTCAGAGGAGAACGGCTTTGGGTCTTGATGATGCGACTTTTTCTCCAACGTCAGACGTTGGAATCCACGCGTGCACGTTCTCCCCTTTGACGTCACTGACCTTTGAAGCAGGTCCGCGGCGCGTGAGAAACAAGCACAGCCAGGCCACCAGCACGATACCCTCCCGCTGGCCGGGCCGATTGGTGCGGCGTGCGCCGATTGTTTGTCAGACCCCTGGCGTGGCCACCTGCGATCGCCTGCCGCTCCCTGTGCCGCCGCGTGACCGAGGCGCGCCTCTCGCCCGCAGGCAAGTTCTTCGCCGACATCGACCGCACGATGGGCGACCTGCTGGCGACCAGCACGCTCCTCCAGCTGGTCTACTACGTCCGGGAGACGACGCGTCGCCTCCAGGAGATGCACAGCCGCGCCGCCGTCTGAGGCGCCGCGCTGTTCTGTTCTGTTACCGGGTGTGCGCGCGCGCGCGCAGTGAGGGCGCGCGCCGGCAGTGCCATGGCGGACGGCGAACTCGCGTGACGAGCGAGCGGTGGCGCCGCCCAGCGGGCGTCCCGCGGCGTGCGGGCGCGGTGTGCTGTGTTCCGGCGGCTCCATACGCACCCCGCTGCAACCGGAGGGGGTGCGGGGGCCTCTCGGCGGGTGCACCAGCACGCTCCTGCTCTGGCGCGGAGGGCGGCTCCTATGGAGTCGTCCCCGTCCGCGCTGACTGGGCCTCTCTCGCGCGCGTCCCCGACGTGGTCTTCCCTCGCGCTGTTTTTGTTTGGGGGTCAATCAAAAACGTATCAGGGTATTCACGCGGCAATCAAGCGCTGCGGAGCTGGAGTCCGCCGGTGGTCCTCGCCGCCGCCGCCGCGTCTCGCTGGCCGGCGAGGCCATGACTGTCTTTCTGTGCTCTCTCCCCAAAGGCACGTGCCCAACCCGTCGGCCGTAGCGACGCTATTTTCGGCTCCCGTTTTGTATCGAGTGATGAAGGTATTTTTCCGTCGCCGCCAACCCAGCGGCGGCCACACAAACTGCAGCTTGTCTCTTCCGCCGCCAGCAGCGGGCGCGCCCGCGCGCAACGTGGTCTTTCCAAGCGGCTCCCTCTGCGAGCGCGGTTCACCGGCCGGACTCGGCCAGCCCTCGTGGCTGCTAGGCAGACGGCGTTTGTATTTTTGTACCGATGGTCCCCACGTCACGGCGTCGTTCCCTCCCGTCCCCGTCCTCCGTCGCTGTCATCAAACAGGTCACACAACACGCCACGCAGTCACCGTGCCCGGGTCTGCCGTCAGCACCGGGCGGCTTCAACTGCTGCCTTTGTGGAAAGGCAGAGCCTCCGCCGTCCTGCCCACCTCGGTGAGGTGAAACCCCCAGGTGGACTCTGGCCCCTGTGGGGCGGTGCTGTTGTCAGGCAGCTCTCACCGCCCCGGCGTTCCCGCCTGGCTCCGCCGCCTGTCCAAGGCGGCCCCCGGCGCCGAGGCTCCCTGCCCTTCCCCAGACAGCAAGTGTCTGCGTCTCAACGATCCCCGCCGCCCAGTGGCCGCACCGTCACATCCTGTAACAGGCGGCGTCGGCCCGGCGCTGCCCGCCCGCCCGGCCGACCCCGGCCCGGGCGGTGCGCGGGCGGCCGGCCGGCCGGCGCGCCCCGTCTCCAAGTGCCACGGTCGCCGGCGGTGTCGCGCGCGCCCGCCGCGGCGCCGCCGGGCGCACCCCACTCTGTGCCCTACCCCAGTGCCGGTCCCGGGCGGCCGCCGCCCCCAGCCGCCGCCTTCCGCCCGCCGCGTGCGATACGCGCCCCAGTCATGTCAGAGGTTGTTGAGAGGAATATATTACATATGGACGGGCGGCCGCGCGTCAGGTATTTATTTTGCTTGTTTATGCTTCCACGAGGCGGCGCCAGCGCGCGTGCCTGGCGCCGCCGCCAGCCCGGAAGGTATTTTTGTAAAAACTGTACATAGGCGTAGTGATGCGCATTGTGATGCAAGCTACAAATGAATGAATGTTGGATCATTTTCATCAGCAATCCGCACCCTAATAAACGTGTACGACGTGACGAGAAGCTCTTTGCAACGGCAGCAGAGCGGTTGGACAGCTGGAAAGGGGAGACGGCGCGTGGCAGGTGTCCGGCTGTTGCCGACTGCTCGGTTATCGTAACCCTGTAACTGTGCTGCGGTGCTCGTGTGCAAGCCGCAGGCGAGGGTAATCCATCACGGACGAGCGAGTTGCCATGTGCTACTATCTAGACTGGCCAAACAAAGCGACGGCGCTTTATCCTACCGCAAACATTGCACTTGATCTAGGATGTGTGGTGTCGCCGGCGGGACTAGGCAGCTGTTGGCTAGGAATGGGGTTTTAAAAGTGTGAGAGCGCGCAGGTGGCTCCTGATCATAGCTTGGGAACCGGAAACGCAGCGGGAAGTTATGTGTTGTTTTAAGGGGATTGGAGGGCGGTTTGTCAAAAGACAGTGAACGTCTAAACACTGGAAAGAATGAGCATCGTATTTTGACCAGGTGGGAATAAAACTGTCAGGGTCTTGCAAAAGACAAATGTTTACTTGACTGACGGGTTTTGGAGCTTTGGAGGTTTTTGAGAGGGCCTTCGTGATCCAGCTGTGCTCGGGTTGTGTCACCACTCCGGCCAGAGATAGATGGGAGGCCGCAGCTGCCAGCTTAGGAGGCGCTGTACGTGAGCCGGACACCCCGGCGCTCGGCCCCATATTGCCTCTTGTGTGTAGGAAGCGCACTAGTGTACAGTAGCACGCAAGCTACGCTGTGGCCGTCAACAACACGCGTGTCACGGTGGTGCAGTTTCCTGTACAGCTTGGGGGAGGAAGTGGGGGGGGGGGGGGGGGCTCCAGCCCCTCCACTGAACGTTGGTAAGAAAGTGGGCTTAATCTTGGGAGAAACCTGTCCGCTGGGATCTTAAGGGGATATGTTGGGTCATTTTTCGCTCTTCGGCCAGCAACTCATTTCGTGAAGCTATACCCCTGACGTGACATGCACTTATAAGCGCCAGCATTTGTACCGATTGTGCACTACTGCATCACAGTGCGCGGGTCGTTCGATGCGGTGTCACTTGGGTCCGGCGAGTGCGAAGCCTGCTGGTTTCATGTCATACAGCGTGCGCCGCGCAGCAGGACATCCCGCCTAGCCGCCCCCCACCCGAGCACAGGAGAAGCACCATTGGCCAGCACACCAAATCGCCGGCACATCTGCTTTGTCAAACGCCCGGACCACATGGGAGTGTCCCGGATTTTCTCAGCAGTCTGAGGACTTCTTTGTGGCAGAAAGGAACGGCTCCGTGATGTCTACCGTCGTTAAGCAGACAGTTGAGATCGCGACATTTTCCAACATATTTACGTAGGAACAAGGGCAGGGCCAAGTTCTGAAAATGTGCAGCATTCACCCTACGCAAAACGGGTCTCGAGTCATTTAAGTAGGATCCCGAGCTCATAAAGTTCCGCGAATGCACAGCAACATGACTCCTAAGCGAGGAAAAAGTTTCCTTTTGGTTGGACGGGCCCCCTATGACCCAATTTGGTCCCCAGTGGGCGCAGTCCTGGCTCCGCCACTGAAAAGCCGAGCGATCTCGGCAGGAAGACTTGGGTGGGGCCGCAAAACTGATATTTAGGTCGTTTCATTTCATGCAGCGTAGTAAGACGGATCACGAATTTGTCAACGCTAGGCACACAGTTGCAGTCAACGGGGAACGGCGCTTGTCCCTCCTTGAACCCGCATTTTTTTTCTTGCTCATCATAAATGGCTCCTGATACGAAGCTGACATCGACGTAATGCATTCTCACTGCGCTCCACATCCGGTCCTCATTCTCTCCTCGCTGCAGCCCTGAGTGAGGGGGCTTAACCAGGGGAGCAGGCAGAGCCTTGGCAAGGGAGGACACAGGGTTGGCAAAGGGACCTCCAAAAATTCGGCTGGTTACGTTTTAAGGACACGATTGACGTATGTTATATTTTGAATATTATATTAATATTATATATTATATTTATATATATATATATATATATATATATATATATATATATATATATATATATATATATATCTATATATATATATATATCTCTCTCTCTCTCTCTCTCTCTCTCTCTCTCTCTCTCTCTCTCTCTCTCTCTCTCTCTCTTCTCTCTCTCTCTCTCTCTCTCTCTCTCTCTCTCTCTCTCTCTCTCTCTCTCTCTCTCTCTCTCTCTCTCTCTCTCTCTCTCTCTCTCTCTCTCTCTCTCTCTCTCTCTCTCTTCTCTCTCTCTCTCTCTCTCTCTCTCTCTCTCTCTCTCTCTCTCTCTCTCTCTCTCTCTCTCTCTCTCTCTCTCTCTCTCTCTCTCTCTCTCTCTCTCTCTCTCTCTCTCTCTCTCTCTCTCTCTCTCTCTCTCTCTCTCTCTCTCTCTCTCTCTCTCTCTCTCTCTCTCTCTCTCCTCTCTCTCTCTCTCTCTCTCTCTCTCTCTCTCTCTCTCTCTCTCTCTCTCTCTCTCTCTCTCTCTCTCTCTCTCTCTCTCTCTCTCTCTCTCTCTCTCTCTCTCTCTCTCTCTCTCTCTCTCTCTCCTCTCTCTCTCTCTCTCTCTCTCTCTCTCTCTCTCTCTCTCTCTCTCTCTCTCTCCTCTCTCTCTCTCTCTCTCTCTCTCTCTCTCTCTCTCTCTCTCTCTCTCTCTCTCTCTCTCTCTCTCTTCTCTCTCTCTCTCTCTCTCTCTCTCTCTCTCTCTCTCTCTCTCTCTCTCTCTCTCTCTCTCTCTCTCTCTCTCTCTCTCTCTCTCTCTCTCTCTCTCTCTCTCTCTCTCTCTCTCTCTCTCTCTCTCTCTCTCTCTCTCTCTCTCTCTCTCTCTCTCTCTCTCTCTCTCTCTCTCTCTCTCTCTCTCTCTCTCTCTCTCTCTCTCTCTCTCTCTCTCTCTCTCTCTCTCTCTCTCTCTCTCTCTCTCTCTCTCTCTCTCTCTCTCTCTCTCTCTCTTCTCTCTCTCTCTCTCTCTCTCTCTCTCTCTCTCTCTCTCTCTCTCTCTCTCTCTCTCTCTCTCTCTCTCTCTCTCTCTCTCTCTCTTCTCTCTTCTCTCTCTCTCTCTCTCTCTATCTCTCCTCTCTCTCTCCTCTTATCTCTATAATATAATATTTAAAATACAACATAATGATATTTTGATATGTCTATATATAAATAAATATACTTCAAATATTATATATATATATATATATATATATATATATATATATATATATATATATATATATATTTTACAATATAACATGTCAAGTCGTGTCCTCAATAACGAATAGACCATAGCCGGAAATTTTTGGGAGGGTCCCTTGCCAGCCCTGTGTCCTCCCTTGCCAAGGCTCTGGCTGCGCCCCTGGTTAAGCCCCCTCACTGAGGGCCGCAGCGAGGAGAGAATGAGGACCGGATGTGGAGCGCAGTGAGAATGCATTACGCTAATGTCAGCTTCGTATCAGGAGCCATTTATGATGAAGAAGAAAAAAATGCGGGTTCAATATATGCATATATATATATATATATATATATATATATATATATATATATATATATATATATATATATATATATATCACATTTTTGCCTTCTAAAACTGAAGCATAGGCCAAACACTACTGCGAGATCAGTTCTGCCTGAAATTTTAAGTGAATAAAATGAGAAAATAATGCGTTAAATGACTGCGTGAAATAAGTCTCCGGCGCTACATGGTCCAGGGGATCCTTTTTAAACCGGTAGAATTCACTTTGCCAGAATTCTTATCTGGGTTATGCCATGGCCAAACCATGTTTGTCTGAATATGTTCAACATTCATGCAGAATTAATTAGTGGTGCAAATTATGTAGCGTAATTTTGAGCATGCGCGCTCGCCTATCTTAGTAACAAAATAGTGAACACTAGGCGGTGCAGTCTCCTAAGGCCGCGCAGCGTCGGTCCCGCAGCTAACACTAGCCCGTGGCCAGCAGGTGAACGAAAATGGTGACGTATTGCAGGCGAGCATTTCACCTGTGCGATTTTTAGATGTGATGAAATAACGTGCTGGTCTTTACAGCACCGCGAAGAGGTGCTGGATTCTAGTTGAACTGAATTCCGTGATGCTATAACCATTGACTTGCTTGGAAGACAACCTCACAGTTGTAAAAAAGACTCGCCCAGTGTAATCTTTTAGCTGTCTGAATTAATTTTGAAAGACATTCAGAAACATTATTTTACCATGGTCATTGTTGCGCGCTCGGCGCCTGTCCCTTGGCGTTACTTGTAGTGACCAACGCCGCTTTCGTTTTACGAAAGCTGTGATTCCATCGTTGTCCTTACTCCCTGAGGTTGCGGCACGTCATCGGAGCTTTACGATGCACTCAGCTGATGAGGCTATTTGGCATCGGCTGCCTCTCACCCTGGCGGGAAGGGCGAGCACCGCGGGTAATCAAACCCCGTATCTCTGGTCTCCCAGGCGCGCGATGGTTAACCAGGGCACACTGTCGGCACCCGGTGCGCAGACTCAAACCTTTTGATGTTATTTGTTTCACTAGTCGAATCTGCAAAAGAATGAACGTCGTCAGGAAAACATGAGATGGCCTTGTGCGTTTTGATTTCATTTCGACTCGCTTCATTCAACGTTAATGAGTCTTCTTAATTCTGTCTGGGTAAGGGGCCCCTTGAGTATAACACTACGGGGCATATTGCCGTTCCCGGTCAAGGACTGAAAAGTCGTCTTTCCTACCGTGGCATATTTTCCGGCCATCATTCTGGCGATACGGAGGAGTATCCCCCGGCCGGTCCAGAGGCCTTTAGAGGAATACATCACACCACATTGGTCCGCTCCCTGACGCGGGAGGTCTTCTGACCCGCGCAGTTAACCCCGCGTCGACGCATGAGCCGTCATTAACGCAACAGCGTCCCTGGTCGCCGCAGGTGGTAAAATAATTGGCACATAGACTCCTGTTGACTTAACGGGCGAATGCTTGAAGAGGACTGGAGGGCCCACCGTTCAGTACTGGAGTCCTTGACTGGCACAGCACTCTTCTATTACCCTAATATGAGCACTCATCATAAGTTCTTATGCATCCTTT